CAAAAAATATGACTCATCTAACGTGAGACTTACGGATGGTATTTTTAATAGCTAAAAAGGTAACGGGATTTTGTCATTGCCCTTTGAGAACTCGACGTAAATATTATAACTGAGAAACGAAACTCGTAAGGCGGAATAGTTTGTTTTTTAAGATAGGAACAAACGAGATAGCATTTTACTTAATGGTAACCAATTAGCAGCATCCATATTCTCATGGATGAGGGTTCTAAACCTTGCAAATACAAATGTAACTTTTTAAAAGTTATATGTAATTTCGAAGTGTATTCAGACACCACTGACATACGGTGAAGGAAAACATCGTGAGGAAACTTGGACTTGTTATTTCTAATTTTACGTTTGAAATCATTTAATCGTTCCCCTCTCACAATTTCTCTCCAATCTCTAAATCTTCTAAACCCTAATCCCCAAAAGGTTAGCAAGGCACTCGTAAAACCATGTGAGAAGAGGCTTCGGCTCAGCAGAGTTATAGGTTGATGACGATGATGGTACAAATGCAACACCGGAAAAAAGTTGTCGACTTTTTTTATGTGATAGGTCGGCAAACGAGCAAAGAAACCCGATAGTAAGCAATCAGCGTCGCCCTTGGACACCCGCAACGACGAAGGAGTCACGAGTGCGCCGTCGACCTTTTGGGGATTAGGGATTTGGAGATTTTGGGAAAGGTAACGGATGGGGTATGGAAAGGATTAGGCCTCCGGTAACCTCACTCACGCGGCGAAACACAACTCTTTGGTTACTTCACGTCGGTTTTCTGTGAGGCCGTGGTATCACTCCGGTCGAGCCGACCCATTCGTGTCGAAGCATGGCTCTCCCACACATACCATAACACGACTTTAGTTTTTCTCTCACTCTCTTCTCTCAAGTTTTTTGGTGAATAGTCTCAATATTGACGAGTGTAACGAGTTGACGTAACAGTGCGCAGCGTTTTGTAGTGCTTGTGTTGTTGCTCCGACTTCTAATGTTGTGATTAGGGCTGTGACTAGAATTAGGTGAATTAGTTTTTGTATTGTTTCTAACACACATAAGGCTGTTAAGTACAAGTGCAAAATCTATTGTAGAACTATGACAGCTTGGGATAGCATAACGTGGTAGTACATAGATGTAAAAAACAAAAACTTAAATGCTAATAAAAAAAAAAATATGTTGAACACTCTCCTCTATCCATCAAAAAAATCGTATTTAATTTTTATTTTACTGTCTTTGTGATGTAACAATAGTGGTCATAGTGGTTCCTCAAGAAACAGCAAACAGTAACTCGTCGAAGATGTCCCAATGTGTAAAAAATGAAAACAGCGAAGTAACCAGATACAATGTCCGATGGAATATCATTTTACATTTCGCAAACAATTTATTTTTGTTTTATGTTTAAGACGGCAAACCTGCATGCGGATTACCTGATGGTACGCAATCACCGCCCATGGATTTCCGTAACACCAGAGAAGCTACGAGTACTTTGCCAGCCTTTTGGGGATTAGGGTTTTGGAGATTGAATGCGTCCCAGAACACACAATCAGATAACAGAGATAATTATAAATAACATTTTGACAAGGATAGGTCCAACACCGATTTAATAATCCAAAAAACAATGAGCTTGTTGTGATCACAAAAAAAATTCACACCATTGCACAAATTGCATAAATAAAACGTAAGCTCAAGCAATTTTGTTTACATGTCATAAAGTTTAAAGAGTTTCGATTACAATGTGTTAAAGCTGTGATATGTGTACACGATTACAATAGAAATTCATAAGCTAATAAAAGTAAAAAATGCATATATTTAGGCATATATGCGTGTGCTCAATCAATCTGTGCATAAGAGAATCCAGGAGTTCGTTGAAAATTCCAGATTCCTACAGAAAAGAACGTGCAAGGAAGTATGTAATATCTACTACCAAAAATACCTCCACTGACCATAACTTTATTAATTGCTTTATACCACCTACCACCTACCAAAATGATGACTGGCAGATAATGCTTTTAGCATTGAGTCCTCAGTTGTATGTTGTTGAATAAAAATCTGACTAATTGGTTGCCTAAAATTCTTTGGCAAAATTCTTCGGTACAAAATCGTTACTAAGGAATGGTTACAGTAATGCTTTTATTATCAGCCCAGCTAAGTTAATCAAACCTTAATAGGTATTACACTTAAGTAACGCCACATAAACATCACACTGATATCTCCAATCGTATCATAACTCGCTAAAACTTATCACAAAGATCGATTATCTCAAAACGTAACGACGGAGTAAGTGGGTTAAAAAAAAAAATATACTTTGTTTCGACATTTCGGCGCGCGCGCAAGACACGTAGAACGGTAACAAAAACCGTTATTTCAATCTCAATTGTGGTCAGATTAGTCTGTAGTAGATGTAATGGACGCCCGTTACCATGTAATGGAAACTCGACTCATTATGAAGTATCAAGACTTTTTGAAGAAATTTTTGTCTGTCTGGTAGGTAAGACCGGACAATTATTTTAAACTAGCGACTTGCTTCGTACGTGTGTCCAAGTACCTCGTTGTTAGTCATTTGTTTTGACAGTGAACAGCCACGGCACGGTAATACTTAATGTTACCATGACCATGGTATCGACAGTGTTGCTATATTTTCCCTTTACTTTTCTAAAATTCCTCAAACCCCCTATCTTTAAATAACTTGCATAAGGCCAGCAACGCACTTGAAGTCTCATCCTTTTGTTTTACCAGGTTCCGCGACCTCGGCCCAGAGCAGGACAAGGAACGGGGGGTTTTTAGTCACTAAGAGTCTGACACTCCCTCCGAGTCAGGGTCCATGGGCGGCTTCGATGGCGTACCGATAATTCGTCAGATCGTTGCCCGACATATGCTATAAAAATCTAGTAACCACTGGTCCGATTATAAATCTATATATTGTTTTATATACATACAGTCCAATTATCAAAATCAGCAGCGTTTGAAACCACACTGGAATACTTTAGTTAATATAATAATATAATTTATACCCCATACATACATAGGCAGAAGCCTTTTTTAGATATTACATCATACTAACTAAGATTTAATTAAGAAACCCAATTAGATTATCTTAAACTAATATTATAGCGATTTAAAAAACAAATATAGACTAATCTTAATTTCGGTATTAAATATATTCATAAGTTTTCAATTATAATACGGAGATCTAAATATATTATGTATATTAGCAGTTCATTATCATAAGACGTCTTTAAACTATTTAATATATTTTATTTATTTATGTTATGTATAATAAGACACGGTTGATGAAAGATGCGCAGTAATTTATTATACAACATCCCCCATACATCATCGGCGCCATTTTGCGACGCACCTAATAACTTTACTAGCATTATTATTAAAAAAATATTGCCGTGGGATAGGTTTGCAGCTATCACTTCACCTTTTTCGGCTCGACCGGAGTGATACCTCGGTCTTACAGAAAACCGGCGTGAAACAACTTTAGCCTTAACTTAGTTTTGTATTTAGCCTTGTGAGTAAGGTTACCACAGGCCCAATCCTCCCCGTCATCCAACCCTCCCAATCCATAAATTTCTAAAACCGTAATCCCCAAAAAGGTAACACACTCGTAGCTCTTTTGGTGGTACAAATGTTCAGGGACGGCACTGATTGCTTACCATCAGGTTATACGTCTGCTTGTTTACCGACCTATCACATAAAAACCACTCAAACACACAAGTATAACTTCGTACTAACAAATTTACGCTAGGTTGCTGTTAATGCTATCACCCAATGCTATTATAAGTAAAATGGTGTAGATTGGTTACCAAATAAAAAAATTCGATTTTTAAAAACGACACACTGATACACACATGAACAATTCGTATGTTTAGATTCGTAGATTTAATAATCGCGAGTGGAAAAGAGACAAATATGAAAAAAATGTGGCTAGTTAGCCACATTTTAATGTATCACTTGCTGACCCGTGTTATGCATGCTAAGCATAGATATATTACAGAAAACATAAAGACGGGAAACACATAATTCATTTGTTTTTAAAATAGTATATACTTGAAACCCTGACGATTTCTTATTATAATATACACATTCATAAAAAGCTGTGACTTTTGGTCCAACTACAAGCTCATTACCCGTGCTAACAACCACGGAACCACGAACTCACTGAACGGTAACGCCAGTGATTTATCACGAACACATCTCAAGAACTGATCTATCGTTGGGTATAAAAACAGTGGTAAAATACAGTTATAAAAGTGCAGTAATAACAGACAGAGAGACTACCACCGGTCGAAGTAACGTAACATCAACTAACGTCAAACGCACGACTGCACATTATGATCCAGACTATCCGAAGAACTGCAGATGAAAATATGATTAATATCTTATAGCTAGCTAGATAAACAGTCTGCGAATTCGATCATGTTTTTTTGAGGTTGGAAAATTGGCAATTTACTTCCCTGGGCATGGCTGATTATTTCATGTAATAAATGTGGCCTTCTTACATAAAAAGCGTAAGTGCTCTTATTACATATCACATCCGGTGACGTTTGATTGATGATTTGATGATTTTCCCCTCACAACAAAAAACTTCACTTTTCACTAGTTTTGCCAGTACCAGAAGGTCCATCATGAAGAGAGATGTCTTTCAAAACATTCCAGGACTTTGGACTTTTTTTAGAATCTCGATTCTGTAGTTTTGTAGTCTATTTTATAGGGCTCCAAATGGTAAACAGAATGTTTATTTAAGTTCGATACAAACTAACAAACGTAAATGTTTCCTCCTCGTGATAGCTGTATAGTTTTAATATCGGAACAACTAATCTTTCTCGGATTCACGTAGCAACGGAATAACTCCTACACTGAAAGTTATTACATTTATGTAATACAAAAACTAAGTGCGAAAATTATTGTTAGAATATGGCCATTTTAGAAGCCTTACCTCACCTCAATAGTTTAATTTAATAATAGAACATTATCTAATAGAATCTTTTTTCTTTTCAGGTATCGTTTGTAGCTATGTGAGAACGGAACAGTGTGTTACTAAGTCATTTCTTGCCGCCAAACAAAAAATGTGTTCGTTAAAATGTTTCACTACGATGTACATTAATTAACTAGAACGTTCAAGTTTTTTGCTCAAAGCTTCAGTGGTTAACGTTAACTGACTTTTTGTCTTACTGGACTTGGATAGACTAACTACAGTTAAGATTAAATAATGAAACACAGTTTAACAGTACAAAAAAGTGTCAGTGATAAAAAACTACAATGAAAACTAGGCTGAATAAAATAACTGTTGCTTTCAGTAAATAAAAAAAATGAAAAGATTTAAAAAGTGTTCAAATTGAATTTGGAGTGTTCGAAAATGGCGGTGTGGGTGTGGTTGGCGGCATTGCTGTGTGGCTCTCAAGCTGCAGTGCTACCACCACCATGGGCTGATGTGAAGAGGAATCCATGCGCAGCTTTGCCTAGGGGATGGCTCATGCTGTACTGGCCGAAGGATGGGAAGTGCTACACAATTTATAAGGTCAGTAAATAAAAATTCAGTTTGAATTTATTGGACTCTATTTAAGCAACCCATTGTCAGATTTCTTGGGCATTGAACTTGCATTAACCGTATCTGTTTGAGCGATCTTCAATCTTAATATGGCGACAGGGGCGGACGTTAATGTATGACCGAAATCTAACATTTGATACTTACAAAAGGCATTAGACCCAACACGACTTAACATTTAACGGTTTCAAAACACTTGCCACGGTCCGGGTCAGTACAGTTCATTTTTTTCTTACAAAAGACCAAAGGATCGCTTAGCGAAAGATGTTGAAATATGCCAACGGTACTCAAACCTTGATAGTTTTTTAACTACGCCTCCAAGAATAGATAATTTACGAAAAAAATATGTAAGAATTTAAACTATAAAGTACCGTACGAAATGGTATCTAGTAATTGACGCAGTATATTTTAGTGCAGAAGGTTAATATACCGTAAAAGCGATTTGAGGCTCTTTGATTTATTGTATTGTTGAGACAGACGATGTTTTAATCCAAATAAATCACAAAACAATGAATATTTTCGTTTGTGTTATTTCCCCAAGATCCCATAAAACGAGACTTTATCTACTTCACATAAAGTGTTTAATGTTATATTTCCAAAAAACCTGTGGTTTTGATAAAATGTTTTGATGTTCCACATGATAATGTAAAAAAAAAACACGAATTTAGTAGTACCAATCACAATACGAAAATCATAATCATAAGTAAACTATATAAATAACGCTGTTAAACCCCAAAATGTGCCTAATACGGTATAGAATAACATATAAAGGGCATTCGTAGCTATTATGTTTTGGGACTTCTGCAATATATCTGTATTGTAGTTGTTACGTAACATCAGTTAGATAGCCAGTACTATGACCCCAAATCTCACAAACTCACACAAAGCGACTTAGTTTCGGGAATACCTCTTACATAATACGTGGAGTTTTGTGCATCTCTTGAATAAATAATAATGCTGTTGTGTCCATATTCCCATGGCAATGTACCGTTGGGTAAACTTGGCTCGGGTTGTGAAGCGAAGGATGAATATTGATATTGAACTTGAATTATACTTCCTCAATGCTTGTGAAGTGAATTGAAACGAATGGGTTTATAGAGTTTTATTAAATGGATATCAGTGAGCGCTGGAAGATAATGATGAGTATATAAAAGAACAGTAATACTGTCAGTAAGACAAATCGTGGTAAAAAGGCGACTTAAAAAGACACGGGACTGACTGGGAGACGTTGGATACAGCTTCCCACAAGCTGGTATGGGTAGAGGAAAAGTAGTGAATATATGATATGGTGACAAGAAGACCAGACAGAACACCAGTACCGTAGTTAAAACGTATAAACGATTGACCTTTAGAGGAGAGCCAAATAAAGGTAATGAAAAAAAAAACGGAGAAAATAGAGGTCTCTTCACAGCAGTGGATACTTATAGCACGGTAATAGATAGTATTACCATGCGTCTAGGCTAGATGAATGGTTAATTTTTTTACTGCATTTCAACTATTTTAGAATTTGATAGGAATTAGTTAAAGGACACTTGATTACTAGTTGAGTAAAGTTCAAAACATTTGTCGAATTTTTTTTAATGAAATTTGCATGGAATTGTGTGATGTATTATCATGTTAATTTGCGTCAAAAAGTATATTTATTCCTAAAAATCACGAGTACATTTATCGTAAAATTAATAATTTTATTACGTTCCTTAAAAAGTCGTAATAATTTGACTTAGTCAATTAAGCAGTCTAGACAGATGAAACGATTCGAGATAAAATCGCTTGTACTTAAGTATGTAACGAATGGTTGTAACTCGATGCCCGTAATTTTGCGTTGCGTAGTGATTAATGGGTTGCTATACAGGTGACAGGACATGGTACACATTTTGTATGAATTTGCGCGGATTGGATAATATCCTGCAATGTTTCACACACGGTTGAAGTTTTAAAGCTTTACAATTTGAAAGTCAATTGAGAGGGAAAATTGGTGTGGTATGTTTAAAGGTATGCTTGTTGTATGTGTTTGCGAATTAAATTAAATTACAATTTCCTAGTCTGACTAGGACATTAACTGGATCGTAGATTATAGTTGTGAATGTGTGTCGTGATAATTTTGATTATAATAAGCCATTTCCACTGGACCTAGGCTTTTGTAATAGCACACTATTGAGCTCAATTTCAGATTTTTGCATCCAATCAAGAAAATAACATAGAACTACAAGAGTTTGAATTTTGTCGATATCAGAAACAGGGATATAGAGGAGAAATCAAAAAAAAAACAATCTCTTCAACTCGCTAAAGGCGCCAAAATCCCCGACAACTTTTTATCACTTTCAAACTCAAGGCCAAATCGTTGAGAATCAATTAATCAGTAAATAAATAATGACGAATCATTGTGAAACTGCGAAATGCGAATGTAACCGCAGTGGGTCAGTGTGTGGCATAACAAGACTGATCGGTCACGGTCTCTCAACAATACCACGGTTGCCACTCACAGAACCGGAATAGCAATATTTAATACTTATTTATAGCCGCTTCCAACTCGTAAATCAAGGATTATTTTGGAGTTTTGAACGTTGTGTGTGCTTATGGGAGAGTGAGAGTCATCCATAAAGAAAGGAAAGCTTATGTGACGTGGTCTGCTGCAATCGACTTTAACGTGCCTTGAAATTGTTCAAGATCTTATAGCCAAGCCAAGATCTTATTTTGGACAAATTATTTTGTTTTAAGATTTGCTTTATATGACGCAGATTACAATAAAAATCTAAAAGATGTGAGATATCCAATTACTATAGAATCATAGAATGTTTTGGTACGAAATAAAAATGTCCAACGGAAACGTTAAAGCGAAAAATTCTCTCAGCAAACAGAAAATAACGTTAAAATCGATACGCTTCACCGTCATACTGAATCGTCACCAAAATAATCATGTAACGGCAATTTGATTCATTTAACATTTGAAACAGAATGTCATACGGAGCAGATTGCCGTGAAAATCTAATGATACGTTGAACATCGAACATTTCAATATTGGTATGGCTATGAACAGCTTCACACAGCTTTAGTGAGCATTGAATTTATTTTTGTTCATGTCCATTTTGTTTCAGTGCATGTAATTCGAACATGGTCAATATGGTATTTTTATCTTTGAGGGAATTTTGGTTTTAAGAGAAGTCATTTGAGGGAATTTTGGTTGAAAATTATTTTAGCGTTGATTACTTTCACTTGCATCTTTCACCCTAAGGAGTAGCAGGAAAATATACGGGGTGCCCAGGGTGAGAGAAGTCATTTGATGTTTTTTCCCCTTCAAAAAAGGTATTAATATTTTTCGCTTTCAAAGTACGCAAGGACCATTTTATTTGTACCTAACTAACTATCTGTCCAGGAAGATCTGTCTTAGATCAATCCTAGAATTTATAGCACTCTCTGATCATATTCTAGTTTTTTGTTGCACCACAAATTGCACTTAGTGTTCACGCGTAGGTATTAGTATTTTTTAGTCTTAGATTGACCTTGTAATTTAGGACATAGAAATTTTTAATTAGTCATAGCAAATAAAATAATATGATAAATGCCGTGGAAGATTCTAAATCTGCATTTTCTAACCAAGGTCATATTGGATGATTGCAAAAGTTGCTTTGCCTATGCGTGTACGTATATGTACGTAATACTTAATAGATATATGTATGTAACTACATTTGTATATTTCGGTCACGATTTTTCAAGTGCGTGTCTTACTATCTATACTATAATTATATTTTAAGTTCTGTCATAATTGTTTTTATGTACCTAATTGGTCGTTGGTCAGCTTTCTTCTTAATTTTGCAACAATCATAAAAACATGTGTAAGTATATGGTTTTATGCTCGAATCGAGAAGAGCCTCGAAGTCGGTTAAAAATAATGCCGTTATTATTAAAAGAAGCGTACTTCTTTACAAAAGTTTTTTTAAGGTTGGAAAATTATCCAATGATTCATACTCTTGGTGTCAGTCTCTAACTGACAAAAACTGCCGTTTTCCTTAATATTGCTTCACTGACCTCTGAACCGCTCTCGGTTCTGTTCTCTAACAGACTGATAATCCATTTATAACTCGAAACTCTGGTGCTGGGGGTGTCCTTATTTTTTGTGAGGGGAAAATCATCAAATGACTTTTCCCGCTCAGAGTTAGACGAGAGAGAGTGTTAGACTCTTACCGATTAAAAACCCCCACAGGTCCTTCTCCTGCTCTGGGCTGAACCGCGGTGATTCATTGCGTGCTGCTGGTGTCCTAGCTTTAGGATTCAAATCATCCTAGCGGAAGTATATAGTAGGTACATATAAGATATCTTTTCTCTGGCATAGTTTGTCAAAAGAAAAGAATTTTCTGGTCTATTGTTCTGTACAAGACTAATTTCTCTGCTGATGATGCGAAAAATTGGGTGATCTACTTAGCTGTCTTTTGCTATCATCACTGAAAAATCTAGTAGCAGTACAAAACGAAAGAGAAAGATAATTGAATTCAAGAATTATACATATATCTAAGACGACCCTGACATAATCTGATTAGAAAATTATGTAAAACGTTACTTATGTATATTATGTATATTATGCACTACACTTCAGTCAGTAATTTTAATAATAACGTTTAATTAGGCATAATGTTCCTTACATAATGTGTTAGTAGGCCGCAGTAATAGTTTCCCATGGGGTAATTACCGATGTCTCCGACTTGACGTGAGATGGCCGGTTTGACAGTAATTTGTACTTAGAAGGAATAATTGATACAATTACTATGATGATCTCGTGACAAACGGCTTGCTTGTATCGTCTTGTTATTGTGGTTGCCTGTTATGCTATTGAATTGAATATTAACTAGTACCGGCGTGAAACAACCACAGCGTTGTCTTTCGGCGTGTGAGTGAGGTTACCGGAGGCCCAATCCTTCAACTCCCCCGATCCTTCCCAATCCCTAGATCTCCTAAATCCTTATCCCTAAAAGGTCGGT